AACACTAACCGGGAATAACTGAATGGTTAACATGTTGTTATAAGAAAGTTACAATAATAATAAATAAAAATGTCTCCTATTTACCTGATTCACCCAAAGCTAATGGCACGGAAGCAAAAAATATGAAACCTACTAAAAACTTAAAGTTCACAAAACTTTTGTTGTCACTATTTAAAATCTTAACACGAAATATTTTTATCAAAGAAAATTCAATCACAGACACCCACATTTTAACTAAAAAAAATTTTTACATTTAATTCGTAACATAGGGAGACATTTTGTTTTTTTTTTCAATTTAAATTTACGCGCCAAGTGCGCGATCGCAAAGCGCATGCGGGACACAAGACGTGCGCACTGCGCAGTGACGGTGCACAGATTATTCAAATGTAATAAGTGGATAAATATTGGGAGTTTTTTTAAGGTTTAACCTTTGCATAACCTGCATTTCAATTTAGACTTATTACAATAATTTTGTATCACATGTTGTGACACACTAATTACCGATTTAAATCTTATAATAATATTATTTTAATATATTTTATTCAATAGTTTTATTTTTAATTCTAAGTAATTACATTGTTTCCTGTAAAACCAATTATTTAAAGGTGCCACTGACAGAGAGAAACTTAGCTAACATTGGTTTGAAACTTGCAACTAAACCGTATAAAGGTTTCGTAATAACTGTCTTAAGTGATTTATGAAAACTGTGGTGAATAGGCAAATATTAAACGTATTTTTCTGATCTATACTAATATATAAAGCCGAAGAGTTTGTTTGTTTGTTTCTTTTGGTTGAACGCGGTAATCTCAAGAACTACGGGTTCGAATGGAAAAATGATTTTTGTGTTAGTTAGATCATTTATCGAGGAAGGCTATATGCTATAACATTGTAGTGTGACTACTGCGAAAACGGTTCAAAAATGTGTATGAAAGAATGATTCCTTTTTCAATAATCTAAAAAAAGTCCCCGACGTATGTCTATCTTTAAGTTACTTGCAAGAACGATGGGAACGGACGACAGTCGTGGGTAACGTAGTTTATAAAGATGCAAAAATAATTTGGATCCCAAATAACGATCTCGGACGAAGTCGCTGGCACAGCTAGTCTTGTATTAAAATACATACTACATTAATTAAACAATTTAAAGAGAAGTATAATAACTAAATTACTTGTTGTATCGTATGAATATAGTAAATAATCCAAACCTACTTGCTGAAAAATAATTTTCATAAAATGGTCCAACTGTACGTAATGACAAAATGTATTCAAACACCTGATGTAAAGGAAAATCACTTACTTTTATAGTCTATTTGAGGCGGAAAAATCTGAGTCAATAAAACCACTTTTATTCAATTACAAACCGACTTTATGTGCTGTAAATAGTAAAATCGAGTTATTTCGAGAGTATAACAATTGATACCAAGCAACATGTACTAAGGATTTGAAATGAAATAATTTTGATCCCAACCAATGAAGGTACTAGTTTTGTAAATTTGCTTTATTGTAATTTCATATTTTTTCAATTCTTAATCGTTTAGGTAAGCATTCATAAAAATAACAGCGTGTAATTGTTTTGCTTACATTAATTTTAAGATTCCATGTTAATCTAATAACCGTTAATTATTTACCGATAATGACGTAAAAGCTTTTTTCTCTTAATATCTTGCCGTTATGTAGGCAGTGTGGCGTTTCCGAGCGTTCTTATTTAAAAAAAAATATATAGTCTCGAGGGTTTGGCGCGAATTTATGTCACAGATAGAAAATAAATCTTACATTATCAAACAGTAGTAGATATGTATAATTTTAACTATATACTGATTGTTTTAATAATTTGCGTGGCGCAAACGGTGAACGCAAATAAAACGGCCAGTGACGCACAGAAAACTACGAACCAGCCGACCACAGATAAAACAGTGAAGAAGACAGTGATATGTACGCGGCCTATTTGCGTGGTGTTGCCATATTTTTACTACCCTGTATATTACCCATATTATATCCCACCTGTCTTAGTTTATGGTTAATTTAGGCTAACTTCTAGCAATTATAATGTACTACTGTAATTTAAATAAACATCGCATTATTGAAATAAATGGTCTCTTTAAGAATACATTTATATCCTGTGTTGATGATGATATTTGCTAAGCTGATATAAACTTAGGTGAAAGAAATAAACTAGACTATATATATATATAGCTGAAGAGTTTGTTAAATCGATTGAATGCGGAAATATTATATATTATAGGTATAGATCTAGTTTCCATTGCAGATTTTTATTCTACTCTACTCACTCATATTCAGAACGGTAATTAGCTACTACAGAAATTGGGGTCCAATAATACCACCATTTCATCCCACTTTGGTCCCAATAGAATCTGAATGTGACGACTCTGGGAGACCCTGTCTGGAACTACCCACTAAGGAGATTTGTAAGGAGAAGCTAAAACAATCCATCTCACCATGGCTGCCAATACCCTGGTGGTATTTCTACTGTCAATCGATGACGGGGCCTAGAGTTGAACCTAGATCAAAAACTACATCTAGCACAATCCATGCTTCGTTTAGGAAAACTTTGGAAGATATTAATCAATATAAAAGGGGGGTATTTAAATTAAATATTTAATTCATTAAAATCTGGACCATGCCTAGAGTAATGATTAATTAAAATAAACTCACTTTATTATGTCAAAAGTTAAATAAAGACTTCTTTAGTTAAATAGAGAGGTTTGTGTTTTATATTTCTTAAAGATGTTTAAAATTGTCGTGACTCGGTCGGAATATACCTATAACCCATTTACCATCCAGCCTTTCAACGCGAAGTTTAACATATTACAGATAAATTATAAATTGATGTGATGATGTCCTTCGATTCGAGGAATCGAACCCACGGCCTTTAGATGTATACATTACTAGCATTGGTCTAACGAGCCAGTCTAAAAATATTGTCTTTACGTCTGTAGTTTACGCGAGTAGACACATTTAAATAAAACACTTTAACGGTTTAAAACGCGTTATATTTTAGTTAAACCTCTTTGAAAATTATTTTTAACTGTGTCTCCGTGACCGCAGCTGCAAAGCATCCGAAACGTCGGGCCGTAGATACAAATAATTTTCAAAAAGTTTAACTAAAATATATTCCGTTTTATACCGTTAAGGTGTTTTATTTAAATATTGCTTTTATATTTGATAAACCATTTTGATCACCAATAAAACCTTTGACTGGGATTTATTAGTGAAAATGTATGTAAATGTTTGAATAAATAAATAATTTACATAAACATATTGTTTTTATACTGCGTATTATCATATGAACGATTTATCTGCCACGAAATCTTTGGGATTCGATTTAATAAACCATAAAATAGTAACGTTTTATCAATTCAACACCTTTTGATTCAATTAAGGAGAAATTATTAGTTTATTCATAGTTATAGAAATACATTTATTCAGAAAACAACACATATTTACAATAATAAACTAATTTTACAAACTTAACATAAGGAATATAAACATAATATTTTACCACTAAATACAGATAAAATATAATATGTTGCATTACATACAGTTGCCTCTGTTAAAAGGGAGGCCAGTCAGCTACTACGTGTGGACTAATGTCGAAACAGTAATAATAATCTATGGCCCCATTAGGGGCCGAGCTAAGACAAGCGAAACAATTTGACATTTCTTCTATTAGGTATTTACTTTTACACAATCACATTTATTACTAAAGATAAATAATAAACAATAGTAAAGCAAATAGGTACTTGAGATTTTTAATAATTCTACTATATAAAAATAGTTCTAGTCACTACTACCTTAAACATCCATGATCGTTCTTCTGTTAGTCAAAATCAGTTAACTCGTTTTCTATGCATGACAATTATAACTATCTTACAATATTTTTTTCATAATATATATTGAAAAGTTTTTAGACTAATGTCAAAAAACAAAAAAGCCGACAGTGTTTTGACGTCCAGCGACCTTTTACGGAGGGAGAGAGTATGAGACTTTGGTATATGGGGCCCAACCTTTTCACATTTTTTTAAAGCCAACCGTCCCCCCCCCAAAAAACCCCACCCCCAAAACAAAAATGCCCAATTAAAAATTTTCTTCTATTATTAGACTCGGGGCCAAATGACGTTGCGAGTACGTAAGTAGAAATTTGCGTATTAAAACATTCGAGAATCTTTTATTAAGCTATGTGTAGTATTCTTATAATCTCACAGTAAGAATGAACACTTGAAAAGTGGTTTGAGTTTGAAACAAAAGCAGTTTTAGTTATTATAATATATTCATAACAATACATACTTTATTAGAAATTTGCTCGCTTGAATTTATTGTTTTTATTTTCATGGCTATTTTAAGACAATTTGTCTTAGGATGTATTAAAATAAGTTTTAGGCGGGTGTGTGTGTTTGTCTCGTAGAGATACATATAGTATTTCTGACACTTGAATCTTGCATTAAGAATATGACTTATTGTTCTAATGGTAGCAATAATTGCATAATAATCAACGGCAAAATTCTGTTCGGGTCAACAATGAGATGAAAAAAAACTGTAAGTTTTAATCGGTTTTTTGTTTTCATTATGTGCATTTCAGAATGTCTTACGGCAAACGGTTACTCTTAGGCTTACTCTTCTGTTATAAAAGAAAAACTGCTTAATATTGATGTGAATAGTACTTAGAAGTCTTTATTAAGACCTGCTAAGGTTACTCTTCAGGATGCGCGCAATCTCTGAAAAGATGTTAGTACTACACCAAGACTCTATAAATTTAGTCTCTATCCTAGATAGTATTGTTGATAAAAATATAAATAATTATTTAACAACGAAACCTGCTTAATGCAAAATAATCTATAAAATCGAATAGGCTATGAAAAATTTATACTCTCTTATTCACAAAATACCTACTAGAACTTAATAGTGCATTTAATTATTTTACGGTTATTAAAAAAGATGTTTTAATTTTCTTTGGGCCATTTTATTATACTTTGAATATTTGCAATGAACTTGGAGGTATGTACAATAAATTTAGTTGTAGTACAGAAAGTATTACTTAATTTACAAAAAAAAATATTTTTAACAGGTTTTTATTATAGCAATATTGTTAAATGGCGTGTTTGCTAGTTGGTTGCCGAAAACCAAAAAAGATTCTGTCAAAAGGAAACCAACTTTTCCGAAGAATTTAGGAAGCAACGAACTGTCACAGCTCAAAATTCCAAACAAAGATTTCTGTCAATTCATGGAGAAGGAAGCGGGAACGTTTCTGGTGTTACCATGGTGGCACTACTATTGCGAAAGTCTAAGAGAACAGCAGGAAAGAGGTGTTCAATCGAAGAACTATTTTCTGCCAATTTATAGCTCTATTGTCGAAAGAATACAGTGGTATCGGCGGCGTGGAATTTTTGATACTAGCAACACACAAACGACAAAAAGGCGTGACCATAGAGTATAAAATACCTGTGTACCCAAATAATTATTTTATTTTTAAGCATGTCCCTTATGTCCACATACTTAGCACTGCTTTACGAAAAAAGTAACAATATTTTTCTTGTGCTGTAATTGTGCTATCTTTTCCATTAGAAAAAAAAAGTAGTTTGTGCTACACTTTTCTGAGATATAAAGTTATATTGAGATTTTTTTCCCTACATACTTTGTACTCCTTTTTTGGAAAATGACATAGTGAACATTTTAATTAGTCGTTCGTAAAAGTCCCGAAAAGTTATTGGAACATTTTTTATACCTTCTATCTATTACAATTACTTGTATTGTATTAAAAAGCAAGCTACTCCGTTTTGAGTCGGAATTTTTTGTTATCCAGCATCGTATAGATAAGCTCTTTTGTGTACAAACTATTATTGCTATATGATATTGTAGTTCAAGAAATCACCTAAATCGACGACTAAATCAAATAAAATACAAGCTAACCTTTTCATCTAAACTAAGGTTACGAGTCCTATGTAACTCGACACATAACAAGCGATACACAAGTATCGATAAAGCGAAGAAAAACACCTTTGTTTGTCAGCGATAGACGGCGTTTCTACGAATAGTGTGAAAGCGGGTTGTGCACGATGCAGATTTTAGAAATGGTATGGAGTATTTAATATCCTATATTTTATACAAACACTGAAGTGAAATCCCGTTTCCCCTCGTGGGGCATAGGGCGAACACATTTCTGTGTCCGTTTCACTGATCAGTTTTATTTACAGGCAAGTAGTTGATCAGATTTCTGTGCCCTGCCTGATCGAAACAATTTACTGTTTCCCCGCGGGATTCAAACCCAGCGTCTCTCGCTTAACGCAATGCTCGGTCACAAGTTTAACCATTTAGCTACAGAGGCGGTAATACAAACACTAAATGTGTGAGAAATCCGATCTCTATACGAAGTCTATGTTGGACCGGTTGAGATCGAATCTACGACCCGTGGATTGTTAGACATACATTGCTTTAGAGTTTAGACCAACAAGACCAACCAAAAAGTCTTTCTAGTTTTACTTTGGTTATATGAGTTGTGTTTAATGAATGACAGATGGCGCTACAGTCGCAAAAGACGAGAACTGAAATGTTGGAAGGTTTCTTATACCACCAGACAATCCTTGTATTTTGATTGCACTGTTGTTACTAATTGTTTGGAGAATAATGTTCTAACGGTTTCTTTATAGATTTAATGATATTAGTTAAAAACGTAATGATTTATAACTAAAAACAGTTTCATAGTTAATTTTACTTTTTTTAAAAAGAGGTTTCATATATTCATACCCGACTAAAGCTCTATATCACAAATAACGGAAAAATTATGAAAATATTGAAAAGGATAATTTGTTTGTCATCTTGTTAGGGATTCCGGAACTGTATTCATTGCTATTGTGGTCTCAAACTTATTTCACGGAACATTTAGAGATAACTTTTAACTACTCCAAATAGCTTTACTCAATGGTACTACTGTACTATATATGCTATAAAAAGATCCGTGTTGAACTGTGTTGATCTGCATCTTCATTACGTTAGGATGAAAGTTCCATAGCTGGTCTTGAATTAAATAAAATACTTTTAATAGTTTAAAACGTGAATTATATTAGTCAACTTATTTTGAATATATTATTACTAAGGCCCGACATTTTGACGACTTTACATCAACCGTAGTCACAGGTGATGGGGGGAGTCCGTGATGTTCATATCAGATCTGCTAAGTGTTTTTTTTTTTTAATTTGTACTCAAAGATTACGTTACCCCGTCGGCTTCAGTTGCCCCAATATTTTAGTGATGAGCATCGTAGAAACTCATCCTGAAGTAGAAAGTAGCAAGTATGGGGGATTTAAGCCCATAAAACTGCTCGTATGGGAGAATGAACCTCAGTCTAGCTATACCACATTAAAATATTAATAACGACAAATTAATATTTTTATTTATCTTCTATATATTTCTGCGAAGAATACACATTTATTAGCCTAACGTTACTAAACTACGAACTGATGTTTCGGCTGCTATATTACTTAACTAATAATTTCTCGTTTAAAATCGTTAAAATTATTTTATTAAAAGGCTGATAAACTTTTGCAGGCAATATTTGCACTCCATTTATCCCTTATAACTTGCAAGCGAAAATACAAAGCTTCATCATCCGAGAGTATTGAGAACGTCCTTTACTACCAAGATTGTAAGCACAAGAAGGATCAACCACCACCCACACAACTGAGAGCGTACGCCCCTCCATCGACGTCAAAACCACAGGAATGCAAAATGTGCTGCAGCATGTGCTGCGGCGAGGAATGCCAGCAGAGCAGTTCATGCAACCAACCGCGGCCACAGATAAGACAATTCAATCAGATTAAAAAAATAGAACCAGCCAGACCGATTCGACCGAGGATGACGAACCCGTTCTTTGGGAGACGAGACTTTGGATTGACGAAGGACAATATTAAATCCCTGATCTCGCAAGATATGGATATCAGAAAGATTTTGAAGGATTTAGTGAGGGTCACGATGCAGAAGGTGGATCTGATGCAGTTGTTGAATGGGAAGCGGACGACGCAGTCACCAGCGCCTAAGGATAGCGAGTATGAAAATGATTTGTAAATAAATGCGTTACTTTGAGGCTAAGCTATTGATGATATTTTTCTTAAAAATGGAAAATTTATACCTTTTGAAGAACGTAACAAATAAATTTAATTTTTAAAATTGTAGAAGATAAAATTACGATTAAACTTCATTAATAGATTTCCTTAGTTGAGATATGTTTTAGAAATATTAAATGAAGATTTGTTTCAAAAATATTCTTGTTGGGTGACCATTTAATAGTATTATTATAATAAGCCTCTTTGTTTAACAGTAACAAAATAGGGGTTTAGGTTAGGGATTTTTTATTATCGGAAATATAGCCCCTTTCTAATTAAAGAATAGTATAAAAGATTGAAATAATATTGTGAAAACAATAAAATCGCCAAACATAAAAAAGGAAATTTTAACACGAAAACTTTGTGCAACAATAATTATGATGGCTTATTCTAAAATGTACACGGACTCCGCCGGGATACTAAATATTAACAATATAATGCAAATTCGTTGAAAATTCGTAGAATAATTTCAGTAAAAGCAGAATTTTGACGCTTTCAGTGACAAACTTTTTGAAATCGAGTTATGATTTTTCAAGACCACTTTTATTTTCGGGTAATTCTAAAAATCGTTTACCACAAGTTACCATGGTTACTATAAAAATAACTGTTATATATATATGATATGTCGCAACTAGATCTATTATTTAAAAATATTTTTTAACGTAAAGACAGGTTGGTTGAGAAATATCATCATAGTAATTAATGTGCGTAAAAGCTTAATAAAAGTAGACAGACAGTACAGACAGGTAAGTATTATTTACATAAATAACAATAAATCACTTTATTTATTTATATTATATTAGTACATTACCAAAAATATATACAGGCGTCTATCGTATTTAAGTACAAAAAACGGTAGCTTAGATATAGATTCTCTCTCCTTCTGGATCATTCTATAAACGCTACGGTTTCGAGTTGTCATTTTTTTATACTAATCTATTAACAGTTTACAAGCTTGTTTCTTGTTTTTACAATTTCTCGTCTTGAAGTTGAACCAGCGTTCTGTTTTTTTTTCTAAATTCATGGAACATTCTAGCAACATCCGTCAAAAGCTATGCGCTATTTGTCACTTAACAAAGAAACATTATTGCCACCTGTTAAGTGGACTTGAGTGGGCAACATTTGTCACAGATGACGTGAAAAGTAAGTGGATTGTGAGTACACGAGTTTTGTAGATTCTAAAACACTTAAGCCTTGTAAAAATCCTGGAAATAGGGTTCAAATGCAACAGAAAATTAAATTAAGAAGCAACATAATTTTAAAACCGAAGAAATTGTCGCTAGAGTTATTATAGACTTCTTTCATCTTAGGAGATTATATGCTGATAGATCTATTTTGACTTTAAACATAAATTATTTCACAGACTAAAACCAAAAAGGATTTACTCAGGCAGAATTTCGATACACCTACCACAGATTTAACATGCAGATTTTGAGTTATTTTACAGTTGCATTATTAGTTACTCACGTATGGTGGTCTATGCTGCCTTTAGCGCTTGCTCACTACTAGAGGTAAGATAATTAATATATACTTATCTAAATTAAGACTATTTTATCGGGAACATGAGGTAATTACTACTGTAGTTCTAATTAATTGTGTTGATATCCGATAGATAATGATTATCTATTAATCATTGATGATCAAACAGTTCGCTGTCCCGTGTGTTGCCATTCGAAAAAAATCAAACTAACCCATGGGAATCATTACAGATCTACGATAAGGGATAATTAAAAAGCGTCGAGTGTTTCCTATAATCAACTGAATAACAACTTCATAATCAACTGATTGCAACTTTAATAACTTGAGTGCGTGAATGAGAGGGCAGGATAGGCGCTGTCTCGCTTCTTACCTAAACGCCGAAGTCTGTATTGCTGTGCGTATACAGAGCTTGCAAGATTTAGACCGGATGTTGAGTTTCCATATGTTTTTTGAAACGGGATATACTTAATAGAAGAATAATAATCGTCTAATTTCTACAAATTCATATTCATTGAGATTCAAATAAGTTGTGAAAGCAACACAAATATCACTTCAAATTTGGGAATAAAATGTAGCTAGTATTCAATTTTTACATACATATAATTATTGAAAAAATATATATTTAACAGAATTAACTAATTTCGCGACCATATCGAAGCAGAGGTGAAGTGTGCCTTTGCGTGATGTTCGTTACTTTCTTAAAATAGTCTAAATTAGATTATATAATTGTTTTAATTAAGGAAAAAGCTGAACAAATTGTTTTAAAAAAATCACACTTTTTTCAAAAAGTTATAAGGAAAACTTAAACACAATTTTACCTGCTTTGCAACATACTTCTTAACGTCATTTGTATATAAAATCCAAGTGACCGCGTAGAAGGAAAACGTTCACGTCCCACGCACTATCCGCAACGTAGATCTATGGGCGGGCTTAAAAGCGCCCGGTCCGCCCGCCCTAGCGTATTTACGTGTTAACGGCGGTGCCTGTGGTTCCTGGTCCCAACGCAACTTGGACTAACTGACGTGAGTACTGAAACTTTTTTTAATAGTGAGAAATTATTTTAAGCAGTTACCAAAATCGGATTGGGTTAGTTGAAAATATTAAATTAAATACAAATATTTTTGTGATCGAAATCGTAATTTTTAGGAAACAATACTTTTCAATTAATCTCCTACTTACTATAATGATATTTATATTAATTAAAGTATAGTATTTTTTTTTGGTAAAAATCTAATTTATACTTATAAAAAATAAATAAAAAAATTATATTTCTATTTTTGGTACAGATGCTTCAGTTAATAATAATCTATCCATTTTTTTAAACGATAAAGTTATGTATTACAGCAAAAATAAACTATTTAACAATAACATACTATAGTTTTGCATAACCCTGTCTTTTTAATGGACTTTAATTACATTAAATGTAAGTTATAAGCAATTTACTATCTATATTTATCCTGTATCCAAGTAGCTTCAATTTGTAACACTAGAAGTTTCAGTTAAGTTTTCTAATCAGTTTATAACTAAGGCCGATAATGGTAATTGATTTTATATATTGCAATATCTACCTAATTTAGTAGTAAAATTAAAAAATATTTTTTTAATACTGGCCAGTAAGAAAACAACATAAATTAAAACTGAACGTCAGACAAATAGTTAGATAATTAAAAATAAACCGTGCCAAATTGAAATACCTGTCTTGATTTTAATCTGTAGTACACGCGAGTAGTACATTTTTCGCGGTTTAAAACTCCAAATGTTTTTTTTTCTCCAAATAATTGAATTAGTTTTGAGATCCATATTTCGAAACACGGCATTATAAGGTAAATACAAATAAACTTATAAGTTTCACATTTTAAACCATCTTAAATATTTTATTTAAATATCTTGATTGTTAAAATTATACAAATAAGGTCACATCAAATTTTATAACAGACTATACAGAAGAGATTATAATCAGCTACATTAGTAAAATCACTATTGTAAAGACGATTTATTTTTGTCTGTACATTAAGTGCACACATGTTAGCTTTGTAAAAGCCATCGCTACAATAATGATGGTATCTTGATAATTTTATGGTTTCTCCAAAGTGGGTTTTAATAAAAATGTCGTTTACATTGTATCGTATTTGAGAAATTGAGGAAACTTTTGACATTTATATTATTATACTTTTTATAGTATTTGTGAATTCATATATATTACGTAGACCTCAAGATAAGTCAGAAATAAGAAATGTATTAGTTAACTTATTAGGAATTTTAAACTATGTCTGCTGCAAAGCACCTGAAACGTCGGGCCGCAATTATAATATATTGAAAAAAGTTAAATAATACGTGTCGCGTTTTAAGCCGGTAAAAGTTAAGTTAATTCAGTTTTATTTCAATGTGTACTACTCGTGTAAAGTACAGACAAAATAATGACCTACGTAAAATTGAAGAATGGTGTAAAGTTTTGGGGTTTAAAATAACCCTCTAAGCGTTGTATAGGAAGTCCCTATTTCATCTCGAGAGTGGACTGGGCAAAACTTCCCTGAATTTACATAGAGAATGTGGTCCTAAACATTAGTAATACTGTAAAAAATCTTTGTGTATGCCTTGACCAAACTTTTTCGTGGGCGCATCGTGTTGAGCATATTGGCTGTAAAATTTATGCCGCTTCCAGCGTGCTAAGACGACTTAGTCATTTCCTTCCTATACGCACTAAGACCATCCTAGCTCAAACTCTTCTTTTACCACTGCTGGACTATGCCGACGTATGCTCCCCGGATTTGAATGAGGAACTGTTGGATAAACTAGAATGTCTATAAAACTTCTGTATCAGGTTCGTATTTGGTTTGAGAAAATTCGATCATGTATCCGCGTTCCGTAAAAAGCTAGGATGGTTGCCCATTCGTTTTTGGCGAGATGTGCATATCCTTAATCTTCTATATTCTGTCCTTTTTTCCCCCAATTCTCCTTCCTATCTAAAATCTAACTTTAAATTCATGGGTCCGTACGGTAGCTACGATTTGCGATCATCTGACCGACTTATACTTAAAGTTCCTTCCCACAGCTCCAACTTTCTAGGCAAATCCTTTCAAATTACCGCGATCAGGTATGGAATACCTTACCCGTCTCCATTCGTATGGCGCCTTCCCTCCTATCCTTTAAAAGGCTCCTCTACAAGCACTTTATGTCACTTAATTACCCATCTGAATAAATTGACCCATCTATTAATTTTGTTACGCAATCCTTCTTTTAGTTTAGATTCCGTAGATAAGTTTTGAAATTGTATGTAAGTTTTGTTTTGATATGTTTAAGTTTATATTTAACATTGTAAATTTTGTTTCGCCCACCTTGCACATCTCGTTTTCCCGTAAACTTTTTCCTCTTTCATCTTGGGTTGCCTGGAAGAGATCGCTCGTTAGCGATAAGGCCGCCCATTGCACTCCTTATTCCATCTCCATCATATTTTTAGTATAGAAGTCTCGTTTCTATTTTTGT